TTAATTTCCTTCTTTTTCGATGCGATTAAAATTAGCTTGTACATCATTGGGTACAATGCTAAGAATGGGGATCCGATTGAACGAATAAGAAAAGAATGAGTTGCAAATAAGTAATTGCAAACATTTGGAACGTAAAGTAAAATATATCAAAAGCTTTTATTTTGGAATATAGATGGAGGATGGCGGTGATGCAATTCGACAAAGATAAAACAAAAGAATACACGCAAGCTCAGATGCACTCGAATTCGTCCGCAGATCAGACGGTAGTGATTGACCCTATCATCACATGAGCACAGATATCATCACAGCTTGGAAATGCACCAGCCGGGAATCGAACCCGGGTCTGTACCGTGGCAGGGTACTATTCTACCACTAGACCACTGGTGCTTGTTATCTGTGGTGAACAATAGATTGTAGTTAAAATAAATATACATTTCTTTTATCATAAAGTTCAGATGATCAAGTTTGTTCCCTTAGACATAAAACGTCGTGTTTGAGAGATTATTTGGAATTGGAGCATTTTTATAAAAACAAATATTGATTTTTTGATATATCATATTCATTTGAATTATTTATAAAATATGAATAATTTTATTTTAAAAATTAAATAAAATTACAAGATTCAATTTTTAAATAACATAATATCAAATAAAAAATAAAGAGATTGAGTTGTTAGCTAATGAAATTTAATTCAAAAATTACTTTAAAAAGTTAAAAAAATAAATTTAAATTAACCTATCATATCCATAACTCTAGTTGTCGAATAAAAGTAAATTAAAAAAATTATAAAATTTATTTTTTATCTAATTTAATATTAAAAGATGAAATTAAAAAATTCAATTAAAAAAAATAATATAATAAAATAACTCAAGCCAACATATATTAATATATTAAACTTGTAATTTAAATAATATTAAGGTAATTTTATAAAAAGTAAATTGAAAAAAAATCTCATCTTACAAATATATATAAAATCTTAAATCGATAAAATTAATATATTAATTAAAAGAACAAAACAAAATAATAAAAAATTTCACAGAAGAAAAACACAATAATATATAAAGTATAAATAAGTTGATCACACATCCAATAAACATTTCCTGTTTTCGCAATCACCCAAATTTAGAAAGATCCTCAATATCTCATAATTTTTTTCAAATAAGATATAAATATTGAAAAAATATTTTATATTATCTGTGTAAACGAGGATAATAAGACGTCGGTACATCGTATATCTAAAAAGTTGGTCACACTTCAGCATAGATACGATAATTTAATAGCGATTCAGAAAGCTTTAAGCTCAGATGCGCTCCTTTTCGTCCGATGAATGAAATATCTGACGGTAGTAACAGATCCCAACGTCACGGCTTGGGGAACGCACCAGCCGGGAATCGAACTCGGGTCTGTACCGTGGCAGGATACAATTCCACCACCAGACCACTGGTGCCTGTAGCGTTGTGGCTGCCAAAATATATAATTTATTAATGCTTAGCCACATGGCTAGTCCCATCAGGGAATCAATGTCTCCTTGTCATGATATAAGCATACAGGTATAGCATCTCCATATCTTAGTGCTATAATATTCATTGACTATGACTAAAATCCTATTTGAAACCTCTATAGATTATGCAGCTCAGCTGGAAATTCTGCACATATTGTGGTGGGTAGATGCTGGATTAAGATAATGTTTGGAATTATGGAAAAATTATGTTTTTGAAAATTTAAAATTTATTTTAGATTTAAATTATTTTTTGTGTGTTTTTTTATTATTTTAACAAAAAAATAAATTTAAATAATAAAATTTTAATATATTTTTATGTAAAAAATACTTTAAAAAGCAACTCTTATTGTATTCTGAAATAAATTTTAAAAACTTGTTTGTATTTGTATTTTAAAAATATTTTTTTATTTTAAAATATATATTTTAGTGTTTTCAAACTGTTTTCATGTTTAGATGTTAAAATTAATTTTTTTTTTAAATAATTGTTTCAGTGCACGATTTTGACACTGTTAGCGGTATCTTAATAGTGTCTCTGCCACGGATATGAAAAGGTGGAGTGAAGCATATCTTCTTATCCATCTTGCGAGAATAAAGTGAACTTCAGGACCCCATTAAAGCATCTGAAGTAGACTTCTGTGCGTGAACAAGTTATGGCATTCTTCACTGCTACATCAGGTATACTTTGGCTATTTCTTGAGAGTAGATCAAACCCATTTAGCACTTCCTACCGCCATTGAATTCAGTGCTGCATCTTTTATTTCCTTTTTTTTTTTTGTTTCTGAGAAGACCCTTGAATCAATGGTGCTAGACTGCAGATTAACAATGCTTGAAGCTTTTCCCCTTTTAATCTAAGAAGAAAAACAATGTAAAAAGCTTTTAGACTGTAGCACTGTATAGATTATTGGATGTTCCAATTCAAATTGATGGAATGATAGCAGAAGGTAATATGCCTTTTATTATCCTCCCATTCTATTTCTGCATGGAAATGAACTTCACTTTTTCGCTCAAACATGGAATAATATTCCTATACAGATGCTTGCTTTTCCTTCGTTTACACGTAAACGGGAAAGCAGCAAGTTGGAATAATTAAAGATAATAGAATCACAGGAAAATTCAACAATTTAATTGTACATGGAAGCATCTTTTTACATCCAGTAAAGTGCATGCCCAGTAAAAAGGATGGGAACTGATCTGGAGGGTTATCTCCAGTTATTTTCATAGAGCATTTTTTCAAATATCTAGCTTATCCAGATCCTATAGCTATTAAAAGATATTTCTTGACGCACCATTATCCATTTGAAACAAGTTGTGCTGAGTCGAGGCTATAAATTCAAGTATTTCTGGTCCTGGATTCACACAGCACAAGAACACAACACACTAAAAAAGAAGGAAATAAGATAGTTTTTGAATCAATGGAAGCAAACTATGAGCGAAGAGGGTTCACCAGCAATGGCAAACTGGTCATGTCTCTGTATCAAGCATCCAATCCATCATCATCTACTGTGCACGATGTTAGGTTGGTTATTCCCAATCACTCTTCATCGGTTGCTTCTGTGCGCAGATACAGTGATGCACAAAGCATTGATGCCAAAGCTGCAAGTTACATCTCAACCGTTCGACAGCGGTTTACGCTTGAGTGATCTGAGCAAACAACAAGTCTTTCATGTAGAGATGGAGTAGCTAGTGACTATCTATACATCTGTTTTAATTTACTCAATTATGTATGCAGTGTTTTTGAACTCTTTTTTTCCCTTCTCTCTTTTAACAAAGGAGAGGCTCAACTGAACATGAGTCTAGTACTATAGGGAATACTGAAGATGTCAGCATTCTAATCAAGATCTCTTGATTAGACTGTGATCCAATGTTACCATTGTAAAGAAATGCAGAAAAGATCCAACGAGTAGTATGATTTTGCACCTTCTAATGAACGATAAAACTGGCATTTGCTGAACAAGGAAATTCTACCTAGGCAAAAAATAATATATTTTAAAAATTATATCTCCATTATCTTTTGAATTTTTTAAATAAAAACTAGTAATGTTTATCTGTATCTCCAAAAAATATCTTCATGTTTCCAACGAAATATGTCCATGAAAACCACCATGTTTCCAATAAAAAATCTCCATGTATCACTCTAAAAATCTTCGTAGAAAGGCTTGCATATCTCCATTAAAATTATCCAGGTCCTGCCATCACTTGCTTCTAATGAGAAGGATCAAGGATCCTTCTCCCGACTTCTCACGAGACACTTCTCTCTACATTACATTTCCGAATACTTACATATCCTTTATCTTTACACTCATTTTTTTATTACTTACTCACAAACATGAAAGACAATTAAACTCTTCTCTCTCTTGTAAAAACGATGACAAAATTTATAAGAAGTCTTTCATAATATATGGACTTCATAATATATGGAAAAGTAAACATCAACTATACAAAACAAGCATGTTTTTCTCCCCGTTTAAAAGTGCTAGATAAATCTTTCACAGAAAAAAAAGTTAGTGGAGCTTTCTCCATAAATATATATTCGTGATTATATTACTTTAACAGAAGTCATTAGTGGAGCTTTCTCCATAAATATATATTCGTGATTATATTACTTTAACAGAAGTCATTAGTGGAGCTTTCTCCATAAATATGTATTCGTGATTATATTACTTGAACAGAAGTCAAATCAAGGAAAGGAATACAATTCTCAAAATATCCCCACGAGAGACTTATATCAATTGAATCCCTATCAACACAAAAAATTCTCAATTAGATCCATGTGCTAATTCAATTGATATTTACAATTTGATGTGTATATCCTCTCTTTTTTCTCAATGAAACCTTGTTGTTTTGAAGAAAACTTAACAAAAAAAATTATTACAGATATAATTAATAGAAGTATCAAGATTGAGAAATGTCGGAAATAATAGGGACCTGATTCATAAAGTTATGGTAATACATGGTACCGAGAAAGAGATTATTTAATTAGATAGATAAAATGTCAAAATTCCAATTAATTTACAAATCTCAGATTTAAATGTCACTAAAATATAATAAATAAGGGTTTTAATCCTGTGTCCAATTCAACTAAGATTTAAAGGTAAAAAGGTTTTGTAAAATAAGTATGTGCAACATTTATAATAGAGAAGAAGCAATAGAAGAAGGAACACTTTTTATGGGTCAAAAGTTGACTGAAATCCGATCCTAGAATCTTAAAGCCAAACCCATTAAAATACCTCAGAACAATACAGACGCACACACACATGCGTGATTGATAGAAACAAAACCAAAGAACCTAAATAAAATCTTGAGTGCAAGATTTAATGATAGAAGAAGAAGAAGAAGAAGTCCTGAATCTCTAGAGTGCACAATACGAATGTACAAGCTAATAAAACTGAAGGCATTGGCCCTTCATTCATGTTTGTAAGAAAATTCATGAGTTTGTTAATATTAAATTAATTTATACACTTTAATTATAGACCTTAATTTCCTCTTCTTTTTTTCTTTTGGGTTTTTATGGAAACACATCACACATATCAAGTTGAAAGAAAGCAATATAGTAGAGTGCCAAACGGCATCGACCTCGAAAGCTTTGGACAAACAAGGAGGAGATCGATTTATTATCACCACGTACGTACGTACACACGACCACATATGATATGATATGAGGTTCTTTTCGAAGAGTGTAGCTTCTTTTACAGCACCAATTAATTAGCGACTCTTTAATGGTGGGATCCATCATCAATCGTCCTGCATTCATTTCGAAAATTCAGTACTCAACATAAATTAGCTGGGATGCTTTCTCTGAAAAACACCCACTTTACATCTAAGTAATGGATCAGACTTCAGACGAACAGGGTCGGGGTTCTTGTTGATTTGATCGAGCGTTTCAATATCGATTATTGTTGTTTTTTTTTTTTTTTTACATTCTCATAGGCACCGGAGAAAGGCTTTACTGATTTATGATTATTACTAATATCTATCACCCAAATTTTTTTTTAATTACAAATTAGTTTTATCCTCACAATTAATTTATAGCACTCTGAAATAATTACAGGCATTTATAAATTAGTTTTGTCCTCACAATTAATTTATAGCACTCTGAAAACCAACTGTGCTAGTTAATATTAAAAAAATAATTATATTTAAAAATTTAAATTTTTAAATGAGATACAACATATAATTTAAATTATTTTTAAATATATTTTTTTAATAAAAACTCTTTAAACTTGAAATTTGTATAAGTTCATGTTATTTTATTTTTAATTTTTATCAAATAAATAAAAAATATAAAATTCAAACTTATAATTACTTGATTATTAAGATTTTGATATCATATTAAATAATTATTTTATTCTAAAAATTTATATTAGTAGATGAGTTCTGTATATTATTTTTTAACAGCTCACAAGTATAAGTCTTGTATACTTGGTCTAAGTGTTTGCATATTCTATAAATTCTTTTAATAAAGTATAGGTTTCAGTACTGTACTTCTTAATTACTCCAATTTTTTCAATCGTAATATAATTAATAGATCAAGGGAACACACCTTGGCATGGATTAGCTGTTAGTAAATTGACTGATTAATTACCTCAGCTGAATCGCTTTACGTGCAGTTGGTTCCCAAATCCTCGAGCTTATGTTGCCATCATGCAGCTCATGCAACTAATTAAACCTCAAAACGTAGAGGGGAAAAAATGAATTTCAAGCCCCAACTTTAATTTTTGAGCTAGCTAATTCAGGAGCACAAGCTTTAAAAAAAAAAAAAAAATTTAAGATGGGAGTTTTCAATATCTCACTCTTTTCTTAAGACGAGCATTCTCCTCTTGAATGGATCTTTGCTGCAATTTAACAAGATCAAATCACTACTAGAAAATAATTTTTTAATAGAGATATATCGGTGTTTTAAGAATCTCCAATATTAGTAAAGACGTACCACAAGAATCTCTACGATTAAGAAGAATGCCACTAAGGATAAATAACAACGTTAATTCTAAAACGTCATTATAATATATATTTATCATAGTATTTATATTAACAAGTTTTTAAAACAAATATCATCTATATATATATATATATATATATATATATATAGACACACACACTAATCTCTTGACTCAATGTAACAAAGGGTTACTTTTATACTATAAGATTCTTAACACATGGAACCTGAATTCGAATGAGATCTAGCTATATTTAACCAGCTCAAACTTTATCCTATTAATATGAATTAGTTGAGATAAATCAAGATACATAGCTTCTTAGTTACCTTTCCTTTCAACCAGTTGACTTGCTCTGCGGCGATGCGTAACTGTGGAATATCATAATCACATATCGGTCAGTGCTAAGTACATCAAATATTACATGAGGTTTTTATACCTTTGTAAGGTTGATTAAGGCTCTCTAATAATATAATTTTGATCCCGTTTTGGTTCTATTCCTTCAATTTTTTTTCCCGGCCACTGATAAATTTTCGCTTATTAATGATCCCATGTTGTCTTCTAATTTACCTGTCTTAATTAATAGTAAATGTAGAAGGATTTACCTTCTTAGAGCGGACACGTTCAACTCCTGTCTTTAATTGTCGTTCTAGCTGCTTCAACTCTTTCATCCCCAACATTTCTATATCTTCTCCTATACAGTGCCTAATGATGCAATGGAATACTTGTCAGTAATCAGCAGCAGCAGCAGGAGGAGGAGGAGGAGGAGACTAGCCATTATAAATTGAGTATAAATTATTATTTAGTTGCTGTATTTTTAATAAAACAATTAATTATTTAGTTTCTTTAATTTTCAGAACACAAATCACATCCTCGGCATAAAAACGTGCATGAAACATACCTAAGCTGTGCTTCCGTTTCATTTATAGTTTTCTGTAACTCTTCAATCTCACGTCTCCAAAACTGTTCAATGAGGTGGAGAATCTATGAGATTCTAGCAAAATCAGAGAGTATATAAGATGCAGCAGTTTAATTTACTCCATATTTCAAATTAACTCTGGTATCCATCCCTGATCAGAAAATATGCATGCGCATTATGCTCTGTAATTGCTTTGCATGGATAGCCTCCCAGTACAATTAACCAGGAAACCCTATTCATATGCTTCTAATGAAGTATATGCCAACTATCCATTAGCTGAAATTAATGTTTTCCGCAATTTGACTATAATTCAACAATAGAACCTCAAACCAATAAGATAACAGTGAAGACAGTAATAAATGACACTTCTTTTATTCAAACGACACATATAATATTTTAAAAAATAATTTTTAAGAATATAATTGCATTGAAAGTTTATTATTTTTCTCGTTTTATAAGATTAATATGGTAAATCAACTTCTTCAAATTAATAATAAACTATTTTCTACAATTTAATAATTTATAACAATTTGAAATCAATGAATTAGAGCTACCTATTTTTTTATGAGTTTAGTGACTTTTTAACATTATAAAAGAAAATAAATATCATTATTTAAGAATTAATATAATAATTAAAATATATATATATAATATAGAGAAATAAGAATTGCCGTGCTCTTAAAACAAATTAGATTTAATGGTGAAACGAAGGAGATAGACATTTTCAATAAATCAATTGGTTCTTTTAATTTCATATTTAGTATTGATTTCTTTTATTGCTATTTTTAGCAATAGTTTTTTTTTTTAAAAAAAAGATAAACAAACTTCATCCTCCCTTACTAATTTTGTTGAAAATTAAATTTTATAGTTTTTTCAGTTTATTTTTCATAAAATATCATGGTCTCATATACTAGGTTAAGTATTTAATAAGCTCACTTTGATTTACTTGGGTTTTTTAGGTTATTTTTATTAATTGATTATTTTTTTATTTCATCAATCTACTTTCCAGTGGTTAAGAATTGGGTTTTGTTGTTATTTTTATCAATTTAATTTTTTTTGGATCATTATAATCTCGTGGCCTGAAATGTAAGTTTAGCAAGTTAATTTAAATTATTTTAATTTTTTTTGTTTTAATGATTTTTTTTTAATTTTTCATTTAATAATGGGTTATGTAGAGATTAAACTTTGTGATTTTTTTAATAAAATATTTCATTTTTATGACTCAAAGTCATATGGTCACCTAATTAACCTAGTTAGACCCACATTCATTTTGGTTTTCTTGTCCTTCATTTCTATCCTCCAATATTTTTTTATTGGCATTTTTATATCCTTAGACTAATTAAAAATGCACTTTAGATATTATTTTATTTAATATTTACCTCATTAAGATTATTGAAATCTTTTCATAATATCAACATAAGTTTTTTTTATTCATGTCATTATAATAATTTTTTATTCAATTTGGTTGGTTTATCATGGTTGCCTGTTTTGTAATCATATGATTTAATAAAACAAATTTATTTAACTACCTGAATCTTTGATTTTTCTAGCTTGTGAAAAACATGCTAAGACCTAAGAGTATCTGATTATTATTTTTTATGTTAAAAGGTATTTTGGTTCGGCAGGCCATCAATTTAGTAATAACTATAACTATAACTATAACAAATAAGAACTTCGTAAAAATCTTGAATTTGTCGCCTATAAAATAACTTTTTCTAACAAACTAGCCAATGAAAATCAATGATTGACCCAAAACCATGGAGATCATAGTCAATCGGAATAACTGTACTATTTACCCAAAAAAATTCCGTAATAACTGTAAACATTAGGAAAAAGAACATTCGAAGTTTGAAAATTAAGCCAACGAACTATAAAATATCGATCTTAGTCGATCGATAGACTGATAGTCAGCATCATTTTCAATTTTAAAAGCAGATAATTGAAGTTGAAGATGACCTTATTCACAAGAAGAGTACTGTTTTGGATTGTATAAAAACATGCGTCTATAAGAAAATCAAACCATAATATTAACCACTAACCTCCAAGGATCTAGTGTGTGAGTCATTTGGTCCAGACAGGCCGGCTTCACTCCGATACCTAGCGATGGTCCTTTCCATCCTGCAGCAACAATATTTATCTTATTAACTTGCTTAATTAGCATGTTAAACATGTAATCTACAGCTCAGAAGCATTTAAGGCTAACATGGGAGGAAGAAGAACTACTGACTCATGACTTGCAAACTGGTAAAACTTTCCGGTCGGGGAAAAAATAATGAGGGAAACTTCAGCATCACACAGAATTGAAAGCTCAAAAGCTTTCTTCAGAAGCCCATTTCTCCTCTTTGAGAAGGTTACTTGCCTACGAGTTGGATTCTCTATTCTTTTTAGCTCCACTTTCCCTCTCCCCATATTTGTCCAACTCCAAGAAGGAAAATATAAACCTTAGACTATACTAGATCTTGCGCTGCTACTTATTAGAAAACTTGCAAGGCACACAGATAAGCAATCTCCTTAATATGAGCTAACTATAAATATTAAATAATGTCCATGCAGTGCAAGTCAAAGAAATGAGCTCACCATCCATCAAAACGATATAATCAAGTATGTTTTACTACTTGATAAGGAAATATGATGGAGGAGAATGGTGCACTTTCTGCCGCACGAGAAGAGCAGGACGGGACATCACTAGCATGTTCCTTTTGGCAAAAAAATATCCTTTTATTTCATTATTATTGCTACATCGGACTCTACCTACGTGTCGGATGCTGGCCGCCGAAGGCATTTTCCTGCCCTGAGCACTTTTTCATTTGGGTCTCGGAGAACCATGGATTAATTCATATATATTGATTTCTTTTTGGCCTCTGTGTGCTTTTTATCCTTCTGTTTTTATGTTCTTTGCAATGAGGGATCCTCCCAGGGATCACTGGGAAGGCATTAGCCTCCCCTGCTAGCTATTTCTTTATGTTTTTTCAATAATAGGTATATCCTTATAATTTTAAAAACCAAGGGAAAAAAAATATAAAAACAAGAAATCTTATAATGTTTAAGTTATAATTAATAAAAGAGAGATAACATAAAAAGAAAGGAAATATATATATATATAAAGAAAAAATAATTTTAAAATAATCAAAATATTCTAAAGAAAAAATAACCAAAAATAATTTTAAAATAATCAAAATATTCTTATTATTTTGTATTGATTTAGAGACTTGATATACACGCACACGCACACACATCGTGAAAGTATTACTAATTAAAAACACTAATCCTGTTTTTTATTCACATAAACCACGAATGCATGACACGCAGAGCTAAGGGGGTGCAGTGAAAGGATTCTAATACATCCTAAAGGAGAATGACACGTGGCATGGAGATTTGATTGATTTGATTTTCCAAATCGTTTGGTAGTGAATCTCATAATCATATCCTTTTGAATAAGGTGAAGCTGGTCAATGGAGGAGAAGACAAAAATCAGCAGTGGGAGCCATTCTGCATGGAAGAGCTTTAGACATCGGACCATGTTGGCTTTTTTCTTTTGTCCTTTTCCTTTTTAATATTCAAACCAGACCACATTGTCTGAACTTCTATCGAATTTCTATCGTGGCTCTGATGTAATATATTAGATTGTTATATATAGTAATTTTTAAAGTATTTTTTATTTTTTATATTATTTTTTATATTAATATATTAAAATAATCTAAAAAATATAAAAAAATAATTTAAAACTAAAATAACTATAAAAACAAACATTATCTTGGTATGTTTGGTAATGAGATGTACGATATTTTTTAATTATAAATATATTAAAATAATAAAACAAACATTATTATTGTATGTTTGGTAATGAGATGTATGATATTTTTTAATTATAAATGTATCAAAATATTTTTTTTAATTTTTAATATTAATTATTAATCAAAATCATGAAAAACACTTTAAAAAATATTAATTTAATAATTTTTCACAAAATCAAGAAAAACATTTTAAAAAATATTAATTTAATAATTTTTCAAATAAAAAACAAGTTGAAATGTAGATTTAAACTTAAAAACAAGGATACCCCGGCATTGTCGTAGGTCTCTAATTTTCAATTGGAATCTATCTTCGGCCATAATTTTAGACACATAATACAGCTTCATGCTGGACTTAACAAGTTGTTTCATGGAAGCGTGGAGCTAAGATTTTGAGGTTGGAGTCGTCTTGAAATATAAATAATATTTACACGGATTTTTATTTTTTTAAAAAAAGTTATTTTATAGATAAAAAAAAGTAAATTTTAAAGGAAATAACTATAAAATTTTAATAATTATTTTAAAATTTTAAAATATAAGCGTTTATACGGTGCTTTGTTGTTAAATGAAGTAAGTTACAGTTTTATCATATTAAAACAACGTTATGTCATTAAATAATTGAAAACAATGACACCTCATAAAAAAAAAAAAACCACATACACTCTCACTTCTCACCTTCTATTTTTCTCCCTCTTTCAACAACTCTTTCTCTAGAATAATTAAAAACTTCCTTTATGTTCTTTGGACTTTGGATTTTCCCAACACAAATTATCAAGCTATTTAATTGTGCTTAATTAAAAAATTCAACAACCTAATAAAAAAATTAAATAGATGAAAAGTTTCAAGTGTAACTTTCCCTTTATCTTTATAAATTTGACTCTTAAGTCTCTCGTTTGTCATGAAGTAATTAGTAATTAAAATTTATAATTTATTTAAATTTAATTTTTATTCAATTATTATAATCTTATAAAAGTATCTTGATTTTTTATTGGTGCTTAATTTTGTAAATATAGCATTGACTTTTTAATTTCAAGAAATTTAGAGTTGGGACACTAAAATTAGAAAAAATTAAAAAAAAATTCCAGTATTTTTTAGCCTTAAAAATTATTCAAAATTATTTTTAATCTCTTTAGTTTCATAGCTACATATTTTATTAAAAATATATTTATTTAAAAAAATACACGCACCTAAGCCATGAAGGGTGCGCCGAGGCGCAAGCAAATACATTCTAAAAAAATAATCAGGTGTGCATGTGAGGTGGGACCTTTTTTTTGTCGTGTTAGGCTCCAGCATTTGTCTTCTTTTTTTTAGCTTTTTTTTTCTTCTTATTTTTCTTTCCTTTCGTTTAAATTTAGATAAATTAGAATGAATTGGTTAAGTAGGTGCGTGTAATGCCCAGCTTGACGGGTATTCAAATTTAATTGAAATTAATTAATTATAAATTTTTTTGTTATTTTTTTAGAAAAATATCATCTGATTTATACTTAATTTTTAAATAAAATTATAACATTTTTTCTGTTATTAATAAATATTTTTTTATGCAACCTTTTCTAATATTTTTTGTTTAATTTTTATTCAATCATTTTATTATGATTATTTAATTGAATAAAAAGTTGATTTCAAAAAACAAAATTATTAAATATAATTGAACATGGATTGTGAAATAAGATTAAATATTTTAATTTGTTTATTTGTGGCTTGATCTGAAGAACAAGAACGTAGGGTGGACGACTGGTCTAGTTCAATAACAAAGCGAAACGTAGATCACTTTTCACAATGAATTTAGACATTTTGAGATGAGTGCGGAAGCAAGCTTTCTCTGGAATCGATTGATGGCTGATGGAAAATGGACACGTGGGGCTGCCAAGATGAACCTTAAAAGCCACTCCCCATCTCCACATTATCAGAAGAGAAACGCAGAAGCCTGTGGGGAGTGGGGACTTCCCTTCATTCCACAACTCCCGGATTTTATTTTTTAATTATAATTGTTCGGATAAGATTATTTTATTTTTTAATTATAATTGTTCGGATAATGTTTATTTAAACTATTTTTATGACATTTTAAAATTAATAATTATAAAAAAAAAAATTATAATACTCAAATTAATAATATCTAAATAGCAGATTCAAAACTCAGAATTACTTACATATTCTTCTTTAAACTAAATGGTTGCATGCTGCTATGTATTATGATTTTTTAACGCTTAATGATTTCTCGTGATTTTACATGCTCAAAGATTATGCTTAGGGTGAGCGCTGATAAAAAAAAAAATCCCAATTATCAGAATCAATTAGATTATTTATTTTTAATAATTTTGAAAAATAATTAATGGAGAAATATCCTAAGATTTTCGAATAAATTCGGGTACATGCGTTTAAGGGCGAGCTAGTGTGAAAAAGAAAAATCAATCATCAGAATCAATTTAGATGATGTATGTTTAAGAATTTTGAGAAATGGACGATTTAGATAATTACCAAAAGTTCCTTTTTAATAAAGTTGGGTAATAAAAAAAGAAAAAAATGGTTTCTCAAATTATATATATTTTTAAAATTTTTATAACCATATCGAGACTGGTAAACAATTAGAATTACATTTCAAATTATGTTTTTAAAAAATTAATTTTTTATATATTTTAAATCACTTTATATAGTAATATAAAAATAAATTTAAAAATAATATATTTATAAATTATTATCGGACTCCGAACACTTCTTATTATTTATATCGGTAACCGGATTTGAATCTTCCTTTCACTTTACGTCATTTGAAATCAGTCCATGCAAGTTTTCATAAAATTCATAAAATCCCTCCTTTTCTCTCTCTCTTCTTTTGTCCTTCTCTCCCTACTCTTTCCCTTCCTTCCATCTCCTCCCTCTCACCGGCCGCCGTTCAAACCATAACCAGCCACCAGTAAGAAAACCCTACATATTCTTTTCATTTTTTATTTGCAATTTCTTGCAGAATCAATAGCAAACTTTCGAAGGACACTGAATTCAAAATACAATTGGCTCCATGAAAATAGTCTACTGTCCAAAGCTAGTTTAGTCAACTGCCCAAGCGTCTCTGATGGCCGCATGCTTAAGCTTCTAATGACATTCAAACTCAAAAGATCATATGTGTAGAATTCCAAAGAAAGAAATCAACATGATTAAATTGGAAGCATCTTTCTTTTTTTCTTTGCAATTTCTCGCAGAATAAATCGCAAACTTTCGAAGGACACTGAATGGAACCATGTGAAGCATTCACTGAACTGGATTTTCAATACCGAAGAGATTCGAATGTTGTAGCTAGATTGCGGGCTCTGAGTTTCTCAACTCTATCTATAAATTCACCTCGGAAAGACATTAAGGATCTCCGCGGACTGCGAATGAATTTTATTTTATTTCATTCTATCTCTTTCTCAGGATATTTCCTTCTCTCTACTTCAGTGTTCAGATCCTTGTTGACACTTGACAGTACTTTGCAATTGAAGGTGAAACAGTTGGAGAAATAACATGAGAAAAGAGATTCAAGGAGATAGCAATACAGAGAAACCAGACCTGAAGCAATATAGATCGGAACATGAGAAGGAAGGAAAATAAAAGAAGAGGATTTCATAGTTTATAATATGAAAGAGGTGAAATCAGAATTAAAAAATACAGGGACTAAATTCTAAATGGTTTAAACTTTAAAATACTAGGTTTTATCTTTTTTAATTATAAATTTCACCCTCGTGAGGCAGCACGTGCACTGTCTTCCATTGGTTAAACATATCATTCCATCATGTTGTTGAAAAAGTCTTCAATTCCTTTTTCTCATAGTGCGAGGAAAAGTGAGGTTGTTTGTTATCCATGAGTTCTTTTTTTGTTTTTTTTTTATTTTTTATTTTTCTATTCTTTTCTAAAAGCATAACTTTTTTTTTATTTCAATTTTATTTTTTTTTAATTTTTATTCTTAATCCTTTTATAAATTTTTTATTTGTTTTCAATTTGTTTTTTTCAATTATAATTTATCATATGTTATTTTTTCTAATTTAGTAACATCATTTTGATTTTTGATTTTTTTCTTTAATCCTTTTATAAAAAATTTATTGATTTCAATTATATATTTCAATCTAAATTTATGGTCTATTGTTTTTCTAATTTGATCAATCTTATTTTTATTTTTATTTTGTTTTGTTAAAATTTTTTTTTCAATTTAACTTTCCGATCAAAAATTTGGGTTGCCCTTTCATTTGTTTTTTATTTTTAGTTTCACTTTTGTT